CTAAAAATTCTTCATCTGTTCGGATTTCCTAGCTGAAAGTCTTGTGATCCGAAAATTATAACGGATCAAAACTTGCCTTTTCGAAAATTTCAGCCAGAAAAAAGGCTCCCGAAACTTCTAGGTGACCTTTTTAGGGTAAAAATCAGTTAAAAATGGCCAATTATACCATTTTTTAAATGTTCGAAAATCCTAGGAGACGCAGGCAAGCAAGAAATTTTACAACAAATGTTCCGAAAACTCTAGATCTCAAATCGTCTTCCGAACAGGTATTTCCCGAAAATTGACGTTGGGTGCCCCTGATATAAAGAGCATGTAGCGCTGACTGATAGGAGAAAAAATTCGTTTACATCAGTGAATTAAAGTGAACGTTCTTTATTGTCCGGACAGATGACCCCCGTTGCCGGTCGGCTGTGCTGGAAACTCGGGTTAAGTTAGCTTAAGTGGACTCTGGACGCAGAACTGGCAAAAGTCACACTCAAATTCAAATCATTAACACATGCAATTGGCAGTTACCTTAAGCACCATTGCTGTTCCCATCTGAATGATGCAAGCAATCAAAATCGCAGCTGTGATGGCAGAAAAAATCCTCTGCTGACCACAAAGAAATTAAAAGGAATGTTTATACCACACAGACGCAGTAATAATAAACTCTTCAGCCTTTACCATTATCCAGGGTTTCCTTTTCAGCAAACTCAACACACACTTGGCGACTCTGATTTAAGATAATGCCTTTTTCTAATACTCTCTGTGTCTTGCCCCATATCCTCTGAGGGCTAGACTAAACACGAAGAAATTAAGTCAAGAAGCCGGAATTCAACTGGCACACATTGGATCAAATCAATCATATTCACAAAAATCAGCTGGAACTTATTGGCTTTGTTTTCAGAGCTGTTAAAAAGATCCCGCTTAATTGCCACTGAATTAGAGAAAACTATACCTAATTATTACCAGTTTAAGAAAGTTTTTAGATCTGTCATACCACGAGTTATTATCGTATGAATGCGCTAATTTTCAGCCATTGGTCAGTTCAAATAGAACGCACGATGCAGAACTAACTGATGTGCTGGTCGGCAGACTAAGGCGTTAGTGGATTAAATACTGTTTGCGAACTGGTACTGATTCGTTTCTACGTTGTTTAAACCTTATTTTAAAACAAAAGTCAATGAAATGCCAATTGATGACGAAAAAAGGAATCTTTTAGTTACACTATTTCACAGTTCATGTAGAAAACTTACCATCCTTATGTCGAGTTGGTTGATTCGCAATCAAAAACTTCTCGGGTACGGTCCAAAACTATCACTGCAACCGGCAACGGTTATGTCGTTTGTTGAAGCAAATGTCTCCTTTTATGCTGTATTGTCGAGAAACCTGAGACAAATGTTTGCCAAACCATTGATGTGAAGATGTTTACCAAGGTCTATTAAGCCTGTCGCGGCTGCTGGCAATAGGTCATTTTCATTGGAAAGGCCATTTATTTTCGTAAATGGCTGTATTTCATGACTTTCCTTGGATGATAGTGATAGCCGCCTAAGTTATTGGAAGAAATTGTAGACATGCATTTGAGACACACGCTACTATCAGGACTGGTTCTCTTTGTAGAGACTAAAGCCGCTACGCATTTGGCTCCTGATGCAAGAGCCATGGCTCTTGGCTTATGTCATTCTTTCATATATATTTTATGTTATGAGTCATAAGCTTCTGGTCACGCACGCAACTTTACTTTGATTAGACGGACAGGAACTTCGAACTTGTTTAAAGGTTATTATATGCACGTGCCATTAGCTCTCGACAGCGTAACAATGAAAAGACTATGTTTACTACTACCGTGGCTCATAGGGACAAAACGCTTCCCAGAACCCAAAACACGTCCCAAAAACCAAAAACACATCCAAGAATCCAAAATACTTGCCAGAATCCAAAACACTTTTGGATTCTGGGAAGTGTTTTGTCCCTACCAGCCACCGTAGGTTACAAAAAGGCCCAGTGCCGGGGGTGGGGGAGAGGGGGTGGCAGGGACAAGTATGGATTTGTGGATCCTGAGTCTTGAACTATATTTAGCGTCTTAAGGCGGGGTGTGTTTTTGAACCAGAACTGACTTTAAAAAGAGTGGAACTTTGGAAATGCACCGTCTCAAAGTAAAAGAAACAATTAGTTTTGGATACCAAACGAAACGAATGAGGGTCATGAACTGAAAATGACCATGAGAATGTCTTAAACAGAGTAGCGAAATGAACGGCTTTTGTCTTAACAGGGCCAGTATGAAGGCCTTGGCGGCAACCCCCAACTAAACCTTCCTTAAGTGCCCCTTCCCCGTCCCTCTTGGGCGGAGAGAAAGCATTGCAGTCAACTGGTTAACTGAGCTTCGATGTTGTTCTGTTTTGCAAAAATTAAATGAACACTCCAATTTTCGGTTATTATATCTAAATTGAGTGAATATTAAAAATAATTCACTCGCAGAAAGTAACTTACCAGGGGATAGAGCAAGGACGTGCCTTAGGCCACTGAGCGTTATCAGTTCTACCTGTAGACTGAAAGGAACAGCTTTTTGTTTCATGAAAAGCGGATGATTAAACTGCTGCACGTTTTGGTGTAGAGTAGTTGACACGGATGGGCTTAGACATCCGGTTTCCGTTTCTCTCCACTTCCTTACTTACTAACATCTACATTTATAGTAATCTACAACCAGAAGGGAAGAAACAACCATTCAATTCATCACCGTCGAGCTAATAAGAATAAATAATAAAATTAGTCAGCATAAAAAAGGACTGCGGAGGGCGGACTGCGTCACGTTTAAGTAAATAAATAAAAAAGGTTCACGTGCACGAAAAGATTTACGAAAAAATAAAACTAAATCAAAAGCTTACATCGCGCCTCACGGAAAAGTAGAAAGACTTTTGGAGAAAAATAAATTACCCATTCACGCTTCATGCACGGAAAAGCAACTATAAAGGAACTGCCATAATTTCTGGAATAATTCTGAATGTTTGAGTTTAGCCGATGGCAAAAAAGTTACCGAAGGCACATCCTTTCAAAGCCGACTTGACAATGGTTCTAACGAAAAAGTTTGGTCTTCTTGTAGACAGCGGGAAAACTATAAAATTGTATGTGCCAACAAACTTAAACGGACTCAAACTTGTTCCCAGGGTCCACGTTACACTTGTCCATCGGAACGGGCAACGGAAGGTTTTCGTTGCCCGTTCCGATGGAAAAAGATTACGTGGACTCTGGGAACGACATTGGAACGGACTCGTGTGGATTTCAAAGGTCCTCTCTGTTTCTGCGTTGAGGAAGGAAATGAGGGAATCCTGAGAACGAGGGAAATAGCTTTAAACTGACTGGGATACCGCGTCGGAACGCCGACAGACAGGTAACGATCTCTGATCTTAGCTTCGTATTGTAAGCCTGTCAGATACAAGATAATTGTTGGTTTTCACATGACGTTACTAAACTTCAAACTAAAAAACTTTCTATCCTACCGAGATTTTACTTTGACGATGCATTAGAGTAGCTGAAAACTAATTTTCATACAAATTTTCGCTTCAAAAAGGTTCTTGGTTTTGTGATAGAGTACGCTTGAATTTCTAAGCTTTTGAGTGGCGCGGCATTTACATGACGGCCAAAAGGAAAGTTTGAATGGCGTGACACTGAAAACCAGCAATAGGGACCTTAAGCAGCCAGGACGAGTTTGTAGACGACGACGAGAGAAGACTAGTGAGGAAAATTTTAAAATTTGAAAATGTGCGCGTAAAAACAAGCGAGTGTGCACGCACGCAAGTCACGTGAAGGAGAAATCTTTATTGAGTCCACCCGGCGCGAGGGTGCCAAAATTATGAATAAAGCGCATCTCCTCGAGTCTTCTTTTGTCTTGTTCGGGTAGACCAGCTCTAATCACGGCTACTTGCATGTCCTCCAGCGGGTGGTCCATTCCCGCAAAATGGGCAGGAGTTTTATTTGCAATTATCAGCGTTTAAGTCATCACCGTCCCATTTTTAAGATCTTTTTTAACACACACAAACGTTAAGTAGGAACCCCCTTTATTTGTCTCTAAGACGAGTGAGGTCTGGGTCGAGAACGTCGTCCAAAGCGGGAAAAACAAATGAAGCAAGCTCCCGTTTCGGCTCGTCGCCGAAGTAGGTAGACTGCAGTGAATGGCTTCGTTTAAAGAAATACGAGAGTTGCTTCTTTTTAGCGTTGAGAACAATACAATTAACAAGGAAGAATTTTTCCGACTCTCCGAAGGATTTAAATCAGTAACGTTTATCAAATGAAAAGGCTTGAATCGAATCAAACAGAACAGAGCTGGTTTTGTCGTCCTATATATTTTACAGGAGTTAATTGCCGGAGGCAAGATTTCTGTACAGTCCCATTGATTTATGTACTACGGATATACAACTCTATTCACGCTGATCAAGTTTACCGGAAACAGTATATACGAAATATAGTGAGAGTCTTGTTTTCGAGAGGCAGACATGTACATCTAAAAACATATAAACAAAAAAACAGTCTAGTGTATAGATGAGATTGCCGATGCTTCGAGAGATTTTCCTTGACATTTTTAAGCGGCCTCTTTCATGCAAGGGTTTGGAGTATCAACGCCTTTTCCTTTTCCAGTTAAATACTGCTTCTGGAAACGGATTACAGTTCAGAAGCATTTAAGGAGAACATAAACATTTTACGTTTACTCACGGGTTCTTTCCCTCCGAAGCCATTGAAAACCATTGATACTATCAATTTACAGATCGCCTAATAGCTCCAAGAAAGAAAATAAAACCTGCAAACTACCTACAAAGAGTCCAGAGTGAATTAAACAGCATCTGTCAATGGGCGTGTTTCAAAAAAAAAAACTGTTATTATTGCTGGTGACTTAAATCTAGACAGACTACGGTTAGATCGTAGCGAGGGAAATTCTGAGGGACCTAGAAGAAGTCAATGACCTACACTGCCTTATAAATGAACCAACAAGGGCGGTCACGGCAAACTCGCAAACACTCATTGATGTAATGCTTACAAATAACCCTGATCTTTTCAAGAACTGCGGCGTATGCAACCCCGAGATCAGTGATCACAGTATGATTTATGGCGAAATGGCAGAAAAGGTTAAAAAACATACAACCAAGACTCTAGTCCACCGACAAACTAAAACTACTGCCTTTGACAACTTTAACAAGGATCTACTTCATGCCCCATGGCATGTTGGTGAAATCTTTGATGATTTAGATGATGCTTATGGCTATTGGACAAATCTTTTTGATAGTATTGCAAATGAACGTGCTCCCATGAGAAAGATACCATGCAAAGCAAAACTGATAATCTACAAATCATCCATCCTGCCTCACCTAACATATTGCCATCTGGTAGGGCATAACTGCAGATCTTCTGACAACAGAAAAATAGAGCGGATTCCAAGAACGCGCACTTAGAGCAGTATTTAACTCTCATTCAGAATCATACGAAAACCTTCTGGTTCGCGCAGAGCTACCTTCACTACTAAATCGAAGACTACAAGATATCGCTATATTAATGTACAAAGTAAAATATGGCCTGGCACCGAGTATTGTTGACGAAATATTTAAGCAAAAACGCAGTAGTTATTCACTAAGAAACAGTGATTTTGATATTCCTTCTTTTAACACTACTAACTGTGGAAAACATTCTCTTAGATATCAAGGACTTCATATATGGTCCCCGAATATTGAATCTTTTAAAAATAACATTAGGAAAAAAGACCCAACGTCACTCTTAAACAACAACAATAGCTGCTGTAACCTTTGCAATTCTTAGAGACTACCTTTTACATACCTATTGTTTTATTGTACAATTAATAGATGCATATTTTAATTGTATATACATTTTTATTATTATTATTTCTTATTTGTAAATAATTTTAATTTTTTGTTGTGTCCCCAACTAGTTGTGAAAACTAAATACATTGACACATTAATAAAGCTTTTACTTTTACCGCTGTTTTTCTTACTTTACTTACTTTACGGCTCACGGTTTACCGAAAATCTCTCGAAATCTTTCCTCCAACGGCCCAACCTTCGACAAAAAGTACAAAACAGGTTTCCTTTTTTCAAACGTTGGTATTAAACAAGGTAAAATAGGCACAGAAAAGTCAAAGATTGCTTTGAATGCTCACGTTCACCTGAGGACGACAAATCAAGAGATCATCACGTCCTGAACGTAATGTGGACGACATCACTGACATGCGCAGAAGTTGCCGGCTTCGTGAGAACACTTTCGGTCGGCGTCCACTCGGCTCGTCGTCTAAGTTGTTTAAGGTCCCTAATCAAACAAAGGCCCAGAACAGGACACCGATCCTGTTGCGGGTGGTTTATTCAGCGGGCCTTTTAACAGGCTAATCAAAGAATGGACGATACCCTCACATTGGTGGTTGTGTTGAATTGATGCCACCGGAACATAGTTTGTTTATTTCATTTCATATAAGAAATCGCTGCGTTTTTTCGTGAATAGGGAGGTCAAACCAACCATCAACACCGCATATTCACAGCACAGGTACCTTTGACATATTTCAAAGTACTTTATTTGTTTTTAGTTCTAATATTTTTTCGATTTTCCACTTTTTACTGCGTTTGAGCCCTTTTAAGTTGTATCCCATGTTTTTTTAAAAAATTCAACTTATGACAATGGGAGATAACACATTGCACCGGCGATGGAAATTCTCCATTTGTTGGTTTTAAATAACAATTGATTACGGTCTTTGAATCGTGGACTGAAGGTTAAAATCTTCCGAGATGAACGATTCTGTAAGATTGACTCTCAAGAGAAGAAAGTTCTCAAAACTAACCCTTAAACTTTTGAATATCTCTGTATACTTATTTTTTTTCTCTCTCGTAACAATGAAGGGGGTTTAGCAGTTTTGTCAGCAACTGCTACCAATTGTAGACGCCGGCGGTAGCATTACACTTCTCTTCTGTTTCTTTCAAGAATGAAGGAATGCTTTTTCTCATTGATCATGAGTCTACTGACAATGGTAAGTATCGATTATTGCATTCACAGATCCCTCATTTTAAAGACACCTGATTATGTGACAATTCTCGTAACGGAATAAACTCCTGGTTCTAATGGGCAGACTAAGAAGACATTGTTAAAGATTTTTCTTGATGCGTCATTCTTCTACTACAAACCTCACATCACCCGTCTGTTCTGCTCTCTCAATTGAAACCGACAGGCATTTATGGCCTTGCAGACCTTATGCTTGTTTGGATTTGTAGTTCATCCTGCCCCGGTTTTCATGCACATAGCGGGTGCTTACCATCTTGCCAAACGAAACAGCCCCGGCAAAAACCAGTGGAATTATCATGAGAAAATGGTCAAAAGGACCACCATTAGACTTGGACCACTTTGGCCGGAAATTTTCATGCGGACCGAAGCGTTTCTTTTATTTCTCCACCGAAATTTTGGCATAATGGAAAGCTGCCATAATTTTAATCATTGTCTTTATTCCTTGTATTCAAGAGTCGTACATCTTTTCATGCCACCATGAGGCTTGCCACGGAAAATGCTTGAGTTTGATAAGTTTCAGACCCGGCCCTAGGAGCCGATGTCTTGAAGCCTGCATCGCGATCTCCCATACAAAGAGTCAACCGGTTTGATTTAGAAACTGTTTTCGCGGGAGTTTTGGCACGTGCCATTAGTATTATTCAATCAGAGCAAAGCTATGATCATACATCTCATGCTGAGCGGAGAGGTAAGCGCGTCAAAAAAGCTTCAAGCTTTTATTTGAAAGCAGTGGCAATCGCAATCGCAATCGCAAAGTAAATACAGTTGTGCGACATGTACAAGCTTCTTATAATCTGAGCAAGACTGGAGTACTCCAGCCGGTACTCGGAGTACTGTTAGTGCTCGTTTTTTTTCCTCCGAGCCGCCTGTGTCACTGACTGGATAAACATCTTTCTCATGATATGTGAGGAGTTTCTTCTAGGAAATTAAGGGGTTAGGCCATTTAAAATCTCGCGATAAGAGTTTGATGGAGAAGAAGGGCCCAACTGCTCCCCTACCTCCGACAGAACTTGCTCATAAAAGAACCTTTTACCTAATTTACTTTCATCTCTGCGTAACTTTACTCGCCATTTTGTTCCCTTTACAGAACCAGCTTTTCTTTTTACTGCTTTGCCTTGGACTCATGTCAGTTATGTTTCTTTATCAAAATCCCGATTGGGGCCTGGTATCCATCAAGCTTCTTAGTCATCAAAAACATTACTTGGTTAGGGTCCAAGCAGGTGAGTTAATAGTTTCATCCGTGATCATGGTGATACACGTATAGATACTTTAAACTCCCGGAGGTCATTTTAACATTTTTAAACACCTTGTCAGGGCAATTCCTCTCCTTTATTGGACAGTAAGTCTTTTACATTGGAGGTAGGATTAGTCAGCCTGTGCGGGCAGTGTAACCCTTTTACAAGGCTCATTTTCCACCATGACTATGGTCGCTTTTAGTGAGCGCCTTTAAATGCTCCTTTTATCTGTAGTCATCTGTAGTCGTCGTTCTCCACGCAAACGGCAAACGTCCTGATCATGGACGGCCTACGCTATGTATTACGTTCGCCGTTTGCCGTTAGGTTTGCATGGCGTGAAGAGTGATATATGAATTTCACGTTCATTTGATGTCGGATACATTAACAATCGGATGGTCATCCGCCCCTGCGAGTATTTGCGTTTGGTTCATATAGTAAATCTTTCCATCATAAATCTCAGTTTATCGGCCCTTTCGCCAAAACGTTTGAGAAAATCGTCAGTAAAACATAAAACGTCTTTAAGCTTCAACAATGATTAATATGCTCTTGGCTTAATCATAGTGGTCTCCTTACGTTATTGAAATGATGCTTTAATTGTTTACTCCACGGTTTTTTTACTATTTAATTTTTTTAGATCAAGCCAGAAACCCTGAACAACTTACAATAAATGGAGTCCACGACATGACAGAAGCAGAGATAAACCAACAAAGACCTTTGGATTTAAAGCAAAAACTTCTTCTTCTATCAGACGAAGAGAGCCATTCGTCTCTCCAAGAAGAAATAATGTCAAAGCAGGATCAGCAGCGCAAAGATTCTTCTCAGTGTCTGTATGAAGGATTACATATTGCAACAAAAACGGCTGTAAATATGAGTTGTGTGCCCTATAAGAGAAGTGACAAGGATTGCCATGAAGCCTTTAGTTACTTTGGGATGTTCAACGTTACGAATGCAGATACACATGACTGCGTAATGCTTCCTAGCCGGCCAATTTGTACATTTCTCACGGAGTCGAGGTTTGGCCCCACAGAGAGAGTTTCTTGACATGTTGGAGAGACGTGTGCGACAAGTCATCACCAGTCTTTCTCGGCTGTGCGGATCCCAGCTTTGGAATCGTACACAACGAGAACGATTGGCGCCAATTTCACAGCGTGGGAGAATTGGAGCAAGAGTTACCTGAGATTGTATCTCGAACTTCAATTAACGGTTTTAACTTTTGTTTACTGAAGTGCAAGGAGAGGAGTAAAAGTGTCAAACAAGCTCTAATATTCCCGCCAATTTTCAAACGTGCGACGACAAAAACAGATCATGCAAAGAGAAAGATAAACATTAATATTGTACTTGAGGATTCAGTTTCTCGGTCACACTTTTACAGATCCATGCCTCGCTCGGTCCAGTCTCTTCTTGATATTGCAAAAGATTCTAGTTTCCAGGTCAGTGTGCTGGATTTTGAGCTTGTTCAAAGCTTTGCCTCCTACACTCTTGTGAACACCCAGTTTTTGATGGCAAGCAAATCACTAGAGTATAAATCAGACAGAACAAACAATGTAAACATACTCGCGGAGAAGTTTAAACGGTTTGGATACCAAATTTTAATGCAGTAAGACTTGTTTTGGTATGATGGGTGGGGAAGTTTTCTCTCCCCTTCTTACAAGAAAAACATCGAACCTTTCACAGAGGGATTCAAGCAAGTTTTTGAAAACTACAAAGAAGAAACCAATCCTTATTTAGACAATGTGGGTCTCAGTTATCTCTCTTGTGAGATCCTAAAGGATCTTGAAGTTACAACTCCTTTCGGGCATAAAAACGCGACAACACTCTTTGCTGGGATGGCAGATCACTGAGTGAATATCTTCTTTTTTACGTTCGAAGATTTCTGTCATCAATAGATCGAAATCCTACGGCTGCTCCAGGATTAACTTATACTCATCTTAACACGGGACACGAACCCTCTGGAAAGCGCATTCGAAACGACGATCATTTTTTGTCAAGATTTCTGGAAGAAATGGCTAGAAGCGAAAACACTTTGACAATCATTCTCTCAGATCATTGAGGTAAGACAACAGATTATGCTATCCAAAAACTGCAAGGAAGCTTAGAGGTTTATAGCCCAATGCTTTTTATGATCATTCCACATAAAGTAGCACAACGCTTGGGCAAAGATAGACTGAACGCTCTTATTGAAAACCAAAAACGCTTAGTCACTGTGTCGGATTTACACTACACGATTACTTCTGTCGCAGAGCTGACAGAAAGTGGTGCCGCGGTCAGTCAGGCCAGTGGCTTACTGAGACCAGTGTCTGCTACTCGCACATGCGCAGATATACAAGGTCTTCATTCGGAGGTGACGTGTCGTTGCGAAGGTTGGAGAAAGTTCCTGAGTGCAAATTCAGTGGATGTTTTATGGCTAGCAGAGTTTGCCGTTGGACATATTAATAATTTAGTGCAGAAACAATATTTAGACGGTAAATCAGAAAGCAAAAACTCAAGTGGATACGGAAATTGCGCCAGATTTGTTGGAAAAGCTATTGAGCGGCCAAGGCAGGAGATAGCCAGCAAATATTACATCACAACGATGATTTTAGTTGTTGAGCCAGCCTATGGTGTTAAATCAAAAGAACGTTTCGAAGTTCAGCTTCGGCACTCAAGCGTTCGAGAACACATAATCACCTTCATTAAATACACACGACTAAGCTTTTATAGTAAATATGCAAATTGCGCAGACAGGGGCAGGGGCGTGGACGTGAAACTTTGCGCCTGCGCGACTCCGCGCCGAGGATCGCATCAATTATCAGTGGAGAAACTGATCCGCTCTCGCCATTTTGTAGATTACGGACTGAAGAGTTGCACGCGATCACTGGACTCTAAATGTTTGTTGGTGACTATACGGAGCCTAAAGAAATATGTCGTGTTTAAAAGGCAGACTCGCTTGATGAGCATTGTAGTTGCAAATGTGTGCAAGGACATTTCGATGAAAGTTAAGTTCGGGGGAATTCACAGGAAAACAAAATTTTCTCAAACATTACCGTTGTCTTTAGTCTTTAAGCCAAGGACAATATATCATGTTCTGTCAGTACTCAATGAGTGGAGGTATGGTTTTTTTAGACCAGCTTTCATGCACTGGCCCATTAGCCAGACCGCGGGTGGTGATTTTTCAAGAAGAAAGCGTGACATACTAGAGTTTACGTGACATAGGCGAAATGTTGCCTCGGCTGTTACTGGAGAGACCGCCCTCTTGTAAAACCACCTCTAGTCCGCTCACTAGCTCACGGTCAGAAAAACAACCTCCTGGACAGATGGTACCTATACGGCGTTTTCCCAGGTCTTCTTGGTCAATGTATTTCGGTGACGTATTTGAGAAAAACTTGCTTGGACTACGTGAACCGAAACACATCGGCCGGGCGCAATAATAAGGCCTAGGAACTTGGCAAGGTAAATTTGAAGATTCCAAACGTCATAGGACGGAAATAGAATGATATGTCATACTTTAGGGGTACGTCACTATTATGCATGGTAAAACGTTACTAGTCAAACGCCTGTTTGTTTAAACATTTGATATCTTGTCACTTATTGCTATTACAGGTTTTAAAGGACTTTTTCCCCTTTTATCTTAAAGATACTGTCGCCACATGCATTTAATTTTAAGAGGAACATGTTAATTACGAATGCTTCTGATCTTTTTATAGCCTGTGGTGAATATCCTGGCGTAACCATTCAAATAAAACCTTTTTTCTTCATTACCTTTCTAATCTTTACGGTACAATTAGCTTTTTGTAACTATACAAAATAAAATGTGGAATTTATGTTTCAGTTACACCTTTTTCTAGTGTTCTCCTCCCTGCTTTTTTGCAGGGTATATTTCTCCGTTCATATCCAAATGAATAGCAATCATGACTGTGATAATCAGGCCAAGGATGTCAAGGTCCAAATTGTTCAGAAGCTGGATATTCCTACCGCTCTACCAAGTTGTTAACTCGATTGGTTTGCCTAGTACTGATTTATCCGCTGGAAGCGCTATTCAAAGTTTGACCCTTCTTGTCTCCATAGCCAATCGACTTAATTTGTCAAGACCACGTGACCAAAAGAAACGACGGGCTCTGGGGACGAGAAAGAAGTTTGACCATCACATGTTCCAAACCTCATTTGCGTTTGGTTCGGCACATGTGAAATTTGCCCAGGCGTAACTTTGAGCCACATTAGGTCAGGAGCTTAATCCACAACAACGGCGACGCCGGGCTACAATAACGTCACTTAATAACTGAAGTCGCGCTGCTTCAAACCTGATTGCGCTTTTTCCATCTCGTTCAATTCGTGAAGTGTTTCTGTAATTGAGGACTTGAAGACTATTACAGTCAAACCAGGTCAAGCGTTCCCGTCGCTAACAAACTAATGAATTTATTAATGGAAAAATGATTTCGTTTGTTGATTCAATAATCCATTCATAAAATGAATAATCCAACAGTCAAATTGGACCTCGATTCAATAATCAAATGTTGATTTGGTTTATGAACAAAATCTACCTGTTCTTTATTCTTGTCTGTTGTGTTCAATCGTATTTGCTTCCTTTTTCCTGCCGTTTACGATTGCGTTTTTCATTGCCTTTAATCAAAATAACAGCTAGAATAGACAGACCGCAAACGCAAATAGACTATGAGAAACTGACAAAGGCCGAGGATCGAAATCCACCAATCACCGCACATACACTGACCTTAGTTTGACCGTTGTGTTTTCTAAGAGGTCAGGCCTAGGTCTGTTGCACTGATTACTGGCAGCAAACTGGCGTACATGTAACAGTTTGTTTGGGTTTGAACTTCAGAACTCGCCAGCACTCGACTCTCAGAAAAAAAGAGGAAAAAACAAAATTCTGAGGTCAACTTGTGGAAAGTGTAGTTTTTCAAAAAACAGTAATCGAATCAACATTCGATTATGGAATCGAGGCTAAATATGAATATTGGATTGTTCATTTTATGAATGGATTATTGAATCAACAAACGAAATCATTTTTCCGTGAATGAATTCATTAGTTCGTTAGTGACGGGAACGCTTGACCTGGTTTGACTGTAAAGTTCAGAGGAAAAAAAAGAAAGTCTTTGTCTTGTGTTCACGCCCTCCACAAAACGTGAAATTAGGTGACTGAAAAGAAATGTACAGAAAAGCGTGATGCACGTGCAAAGTTGTTGTTTTGCCAAAATAAACCTTTTGCTTTTTGGCCCTTCTCCTTGACGGCGCCGACGTCGCTGTCGCTGGTTAAAGGAGCTGTGTCACAAAATTCAGACAAAGTAGGTAATTACAAAATGCCCGTTAAATTGAGAGAAACATAAAAAAAACACCTAAAACATTAAAGGAAGGTTAAAATAACACAACAGAAACAACAGATTCCACGGATGGGCAAAACTCAAGAAGATTGAAATGGATTGAAATTAGGGTTTCTGAAAACTGTTCAGCCTAACAGTTTTTCAGAGTTTATCCCTGCTGCTTGCAACTTCATAAATAATGCTCAGGAGACATATTTGTTTGTTTCTGATCTCTGATATTTGTCATTTACATGTAGTTTCTGTGCTTACTTTAAGTTCCATAGTGATTGAGGGCGAGTAATTGGAAAAATTAAACAAACTGAACTGGACTGCCATGACACAGCCCCTTTAAGCTCCCTCAGTTAGGATCTTTGAGATCCAACAACGCGACGCGACGGCAACGAGAACGTCGCTTAGAAAATGAATTTGTGTTATTTCAGTCTTTATCGCGATTATTTTTACACACTTACTTTGTCATATGTAGGCGAACTCTCCTGGAGTTAAATTCCTAGGGACCATATCCAAGTTCAAAGAGAAAATAAAATTTCGTTATTGCTTGTTTAAGTACTCCATAAAACGTGAAATTAAGAATTTTCATGTTGTACTCGTGCAAAAACGGGCAAAGAAATGTACGAAAAAGCGTGATGCACGTGTTGTGTTTTTGATCATAATGATATAAAGCCTATTGTTTTTTTAACGTTCTCGTTGCCGTCCGCGTTGTTGGATCTTAAAGTCCCTAGTGATGCAGCAGGGCGCCGCGCTTGTGAATAGTCTGTTATTGTCTTAAATGACAGAGGTGCTTAGCCCGCGTAGCAGGCGTCGAAAGGGTAGGGAATTGGGAAGAAGACAAAATGGAAGGGGGGTTGTGATTTTCCCTTTCGCGCTTTTCTCTCTCTCCGCTTTTTTATGAATACGAGATCTGTTGAAAATAGCGCATTTGAAAACATCGTTGAAATTTTCGCGGTGTAAATAAATTATTATCATTATCATTAGTAGTTTCCTTGGGCGTTGTTAGAGAGGAGACGTAATTAATAGCAGGTCCTGGTATGTTTAGGAACGTAAGATCCTCTTTCGTCCCATTATTGGCTGACAGAACTGTACTTTTCACATTGTTCAACCAAAGCAATGGAGCATTCTTTGATTGGTTGTTGTCTATCTACCATCATTTGCAGTAGCGCCGGCAAAAGGTTTAATTCCTGAGCTTTCCTGAGGATAACTTTAGCCGTATCTTGCAAGTGCGACACTCCTTGCTGCAGTTGTTTCCATTTCCTGACCCCTCTTTCCGCGACAGCAGCAAAAATGAAGTAAACCAACCCGCCAATTATCAATAATGCACCTCCCCCGATGAGAGCACCAAAAACTACAGGAAGAATCTGGCTGTTCCATGCCGTCCACGCTATGACTCCACCAAGGATTAGTCCTAAGAGTATCGATAAAATCCAGGCACGTCTTCCGTGTGTCACAATGTTGTTTTTCATTGTCTCGGAGTATTGGTATCGCTCTTCAACGAGACTAGGATATACATTTGCTCGCGCTCCAATCTTTGTATGCCTGAAAGAGCCCAAATGGGCTTTGAGTAAATAGCCCATGAGGCCGAAGGCCGAATGGTCTCAGTATTAACTCAGAGGCCATAAGGGCGAGAGGAATAATTGTTTCCAACTAGTTGGTCAAAAATACAGAGAATAAAAAAGTTTTAACTACTTAAAGCTAGACTTTAATCCTTTTTTGCCGCCAAAAAGCCGGCGCTTTTCGCTACTAGTGGGCTGTAACATATAGCTAGTAGTAGCTCAACCAATCAGAACGCAGCATTCATAATAGACCAGTAGTTGGATTTTACTAATATTACTTATTAGTGGACACACTCGGACAAATTGTTCCTCGATCACAGACTGACATGGAGCAAATCGAATGGCCGAGAATGGAGTCAGATGAGTCATCGTTTACTAATTTTTCGATGCTTCATTCTCTGGAAGGCTAAATTTTTGTTGGCTGCGAACCTTTATCTGGAACAAAAGTTTACTTAATTGACTGACAACGCATATTGGCAAGTCATCAGGTCAGACTCAGAACCACTGGTGAGAAAAGTTAGCAAATTTAAACCAACTGCACAGAAATTTTATTATTCGAGTAGGGTTACGTATGCGTAAAAACTAATTGGCACATGATTAAAAGTACCCCGTAAGTTGTTGTATAACTTTATCATCGAAAAATCTTTCAGTGTAGTTTAACCGGATTTTAAGCCTTCTTGGTCAGTCATCCAGAGCTGTTAAGATTTTTTGACGATTATTAATTTTCGACTTTTTCGTCTTCAGCTTATATAACAGCACCTCTGAAAATATGAAAGTCTAATAAAATCTGTGACTTCCTAATTACTCGTGTACAGATAAGCTTCCAGTCAACAGGTGGGGCATTGAAAGTCTTCTTTAAAGTTAATACCGCATGGCTGGTGTCCCTACCTTGTCAACAGAGTGCGAAAATTCTCTTCAAGCAGCTTGGCTCTTGTCAAAATTGTCTCAACTTCTGATTCTTTCTATTCATTTTCCGTGAACTGAGTGAAATATTCCATGGTTTCTTTTAATGTGGACGTCTCTTTTTCGAGATCTTCACAGTCAGAACTATAAAATGTTGTCGAGATCTTTTTTATTCCTTCGTACGACAGATTTTCGTTGGATTCCAGATTGGTGAGTGCTTGGTATCCATTTGTAAAACATTCCATTATTTTATCGCAAACATCGCAGCAGGCCATGTTGTACCGCAGATGCACCTGTCGCCTATACATTTGAAACGACAGGAATGAAAAACAGGGGTGGAAGATCCATGGGTTAGGTCAAGAGAATCGTCAAGCATTAGCACTGATAACGCCAGTTTGAATTTGTGTAATTAATCTGCAAGTAGT